AAATGTAATAAGACGCATCTGTCAAATTTCGGCGAGCCCCAGTTTAACGTCGAGCCAGCAGATAATGTTGTCACGTGAGTGAAAATGCGCTCACGTTGTCAAGCTGAACTGTGACGCCTAAAGTGTTTCTAAATGGCTTCCACTTAGTTAATCTGCGTGAGAGATCAGTTGACATCATAGCTCACTGGTTCAGGTTGCAGTATTGCGGTGTTGTAAGCAGGCATTTGTTCACACTTGTGTATGCACTACCACAAATTGGATAAAGAAGCACTAACCCCCTGAGAAATAACGCTACGAACGTGCATGAGTGTGAATTGAATGTAAAAATAGCCATATTCCTAGTGTTGGAAGATCGTTTAAACATGAACTAGTGGCAGTCAGCAATTTACTCAGAAGTGTGGGCATGAACAATAAGTAGACAGATAGGAATAGGGAAGCAAATGCCATCAGTATGCTTACCGGGTGGAATGATGCACAAATAAGAGATACAAAAACAGTGGTCTTTACGTTAGTGTATGCTACGAATGCCGTCTGTTATATGCGTTCATCGCTAATATCACCCATTCTCTGATAACCACTTCAAGGCGATCACAGGAACAACACATCTAGCAAATCCCGCTGCATCCTCTCTTACATTCGGCTTTCAAAACTGTGCTCAAACTGTTTTAGCCAAGTTACAAGAAGTAACTCAAATAACATCCAATCCGTTGGCAGATGTGGCTATATAATCTACTGTGGCGATAAGCTATTTATGTAAACGAAGATCCCTTTGGGGCTCGAGTAACACGTAAAAACTCGGGTCCAACCAAAGCTTTGAAGCCGAGACGTTTCTCTACGGTACAATTAAACAAGATGCAACTCGTGCAATATGTACATCCTCAATCCTAGTGCGAACGGGATTTTAAAATGCCGACCTCATATATATATATATATATATATATATATATATATAATAGTACCGTAGAAACGTCTCGGCTTCAAAGCTTTGGTTGGACTCGAGAGTTTGATTGAAGTCGGACGGGAATCAGTCGCTCGGTTTGCACTCGTGCTGTCAAGGTTCGGTCCAGTTCAGTTGGGCAACTATGATTTACTCCCCGAATTGCAATATATCCAGTTGAAAGACTTATATCGCTGGCATAACAAATAACGACGGCACGGAAATAGTGTTGACTGTAGATAGAATGTAAAAGGGACCAAATTTGCGTTATGCTAAAATTCTCATCAATAATCGTACATCAGCCATTTAAACTGATGCTTCGCTGCCATACAACCATAACGACTTTGGAACGAATAATAATAGTAGGGAGATAAGTGGGACTTACTGGAGAGCCTTAAAACCCTAAACACATTCATGCTCAAGGAGCCATCACAAACAACTGGCTATCGTACAAAGATTAAGTGGCATTAGCTAGACAACTTCCTTGCGGCTTTCACTGCGTTGCCTCATAGCCAGTCATTACTCCGCAAATAACAGCACAAGGCGCGCTTTAAACAGGCAGTCCGACTAGGAGACGGCAGCGGACGCGCCACTGGTGCCGACTACGAGCCATGCCCTGTAAAACTTTGAGCCAAGTACGAAACGATTCTCGTAGACTCCAGCCTACGAGGCGAGACAAGGGATTTTCTTGTCATACTATTCTACTTGTGGCTTATAAAAGCCAGGCCGAATCAGTATATGGTGGCCGCGCTATAGACGTGCTATTCGTTAAGTTTTCGAAAGTTTTTGACACACCCTCATCCTAGCATCTCACTAAAGCTGATATCTGGTCGCGCTATTTAATGGGTGTCTGCTTTCCCGGTGGGGAGAGAACTGTGCGTACGCGTTAGGCATAGGCAAGCGTAGTAGCTCCGTATTGGCGCCATTGTTCGGGATCTATGTAAATGACTTGCCGAAGTGTCGTTGCTAATGTTTCTTGACTACCCTGAGCTCTGGGCTATTGTAGGTGTCTCGGGAGAATCTGATGCATTTGTGTGCTTTGGATAGTCTATGGGAATGGTTTGCCTTATGGTTGATGCTCATAAAACGGACAAACTTTTATGTTCTCTAAATTGAAGCTGCTTGGCCTACACGATATGTTGCCGGCGGTGGTGAAATCCCTGTTGTCACTCAGCAGGTGGATTTAAATGTTGTCTACTCACCAGTTCTTTATTATGGCGACAATTTGGAGGTTGCTTGTGAAGGCTTCGTATGTTATGGTTTATTCGCCGCTCTTTCGGAGTCTTCAAGCCCAATATGTTTGTGAAGTTACTCTCGACATTCGTGCGAGCCTACTTGATACGCTACCCGGGCTTGTACACCATTTCTTATCCGAGACAACATAGACTTGCAGAGGATTTTACGCTTAGGCACTAGCTTAGTGCAGGGTCTACAGGGACAGATGTATTCCGAACGTTTGCTTAGTTTGGGGATGTACTCAGTACACTACGGAAGAAATAAAGGAAACTTTATACTTAGTTACCACATTATGTCGAGTAAGTTCGGTCCGGACATTCCTTGCTTATTTAGTCGCGTTTTATTACCTAATCTCCGTGGTTACCCATCGAAGCCATACAAACATCGGTCTGATCAGGTTAAAGCGGAGACTGGTCTGTCGCGCCGTTGTAGAGCACTGAAATTCGCCGTCAAATCATGTGATTAGGGAATCTACGCGTAAGGGTTTTTCGCATCAGCTCCATGCTCTTAAGTGGCGACATCAAACCTACACTTGTTCGTAACTAATCTTCAGCTTTCTGTTCTGTTTTAGTTACGTATTATATTATTTGTTTTCCTTTTGTCTTCAGATTTTACCGTTTCCTCTTCACGTAACTGGCACAGCAGGGACTGCAACTGCCAGTACACGTAGGCAGGGTGTGATGCAGTCTTTGTTTTATATCCATCTGTATTTAAAAATACTTCGTCAACTGGTTCCACCTCCCGCCTAAAAAGAAACCCTATTATCGTTCCAGTCCCATGTGCAATCGAACTTACTACTGACTACGTGAATGCACCATGTCTAGTTTGGTCACCAACCACACTAGTCTTGACCATCTTAGGGCCGCCATGCACGAAGACGGCGGGCACCAGCGGGACCAAGTCTAAGCCAATTTCTTCAAACTTTTATGCCACCTCGCGCTTCCGCGCCCAACTCAATGCAGCGGCGGCGGGTAATGTACGTCGAGTAAGGCGTCTAATGGATATACGGAGGACATGATAACCGTAGACAGTTGAGCTTAAGCAAACATACGAATGAGGTACCAGAAGGTTTCATCCCAGAAACCAGCTGTGGACCTCAGCATTGCTCATTCGGTTTTCCCGCAAAATGTGAGCAGTACTCTAGAAGCACCTGTGGTCAAACACCGTAGACATTTGCTTCTGATTTCTTTCAGGCTACTGATCATGCTCTAAACCTTGTCGTAACTGTCCCATTCCCCAGTTCCCTCAGGAAAAGTGTGCCCGATAATTGTAGATAAGAGGGATGTACGCTCGTATTTCGAGCAGAGTAAGGGACTTATGGCAAACTGCCACCGTCCTTTAATATCTCCAATGTGAGACATGATTGTCCGCTCTCGCCTTTTCTTTTTAACTTCACCATCGACGAAGTCAAAGAAGCTGCGTATACTGAGCACATCTTGACTTGGAGTACACTGATATAATTATGCTTATCTGTGACAACTCCCAAACGTGCAGCGAAACTGGAAAATTTAGCACTGACTGCCAATCGTTTCAGACTATGTTTTGACCTCTCGAAATGCAGGGACTCACTCATGCTTGTTGACAAGACGTTTGTGCTGTGAGTGCCGATCCATGGCCTTAATGATCACAATCCTGCCTAGTAATCCGGAGGTCGCTGGCCCGAGTCTGCTTAGGCGACGAGGCAACCCTTGCAGTAACCATAGACCATGCACGACTGGTGGTAGTTGCGCGGCAGTGATGCGTCAGTACTGCCTGTCGACATACTGCTGATGCCTTGTGTTGCGAATTTCTTTGTCCCTCTCGCTTAGCTTCCCTCTCCAATCACGATCTCCCACTTTATGCACAGTATGAAACGTAGCTTTTTGTTTCCTGTTTGTTTTTGCCCGCTTTTTTCATACATCGTATCTTTCTGTTTTGAAGCACAATAGCTGTGTTTCACCCATTAACCTAGCGTGTAATGATGCTGATGACATTTCCCAGCTTCATTATGCTTTTACGCGTTGTTTTTTCCCATGCTCCTAAATGACCATTTACCAAGGTTCTTTTTGTATCAGACATTTGTATCAGACATTGGAACTACACAAGCAATTCTTAGGCTACTCATTTCTCCTTTATAGGATTAACGATGCATTGTTATGTGTAATATCACATTTTAATATGTCCCGCTAATTTGTTCGTATGTTATTTTGTGTGTAACCGCAAGATTCCTAAAGGAAACCGACCTTTCACTTCTGAAAGCACGGTCATACTCTCCACACTATCCTCCCAAAATCATAAGACTGCTTTGTTCGAGAGATATACTAAGAATTCCACACATAGCTTTCACCATGTCTATCTTCATTTATTTAACCTAACTGATCGGCCAAGGTCACTCGCGTGGCACATCTGCGCCTCACCTAACTGAGATGTATCTCGTTTATATCTTAATTTCCTTCAGAAAGGTCGGTTTAGTCAACCACAGCTTGAGAACGCCTTGGCATCAGATGACGATGAGGAGGAAGAGGAAGACGAGGACGATGATAATGAGGAAGACAGCGAAAATTCGGATGCCGAAAACGACATAAAAGACGATGAGGAAAACGGTGATGAAGATGAGGATGACGAAGATGAAGACGAAGACAGCGACGACGATGGTGATGATTCTGATCCGGATAGTGCTGGCAGTGTAGAAAATGCTGCTCCAGATTCGTCTTTGGCTAAAGTGAACCCCATTCGATCGACCAACTTAAAACCAACAGTTCACAGCCCTCAAAAAATCGGCATTCAAGGTGGTGAACCAAAATTGAAGGCTGATACCCCGTCCGAGAAACGGTCACTTGATTATGATATGTTTGTTATACCCCATCCTCCAAAAGATATTCTGGATTTGAGGAATGTAATGGAAAAAGCTGGTTACTCGGTCACGGACATCTCTATGCTAAACATACCTCTTGCTTTGGCCACGGTCGCATCTGCGAAAAATTTGAAGTCCGAGAAATCGGGATTTCCTCCTTTGTCCCTCAATGGATCTGCAGTCCATATCATTCATTTGGATGCCCCAAAGGAATCGCTAGCAAAACTGGCGATCCCGGTTACTACAACGATCATCGTAACCGGTATCCCAAAGTCTGTCACCCTAGTGAGTCTCGCATTTTTCCGAGCGCACCCCGTCTGCTTAAGAACTTCCAGGATATCAGCATTTTAGGATAACAACGACTGTCCATGCACCCGATCTCTTAGCGATTTCAGTCATTTTTCTCCACTAAAACCAACTAAAGTAACCGTGGCCCTCCTACTTTTAAGTTTTATTAGTCTGATCCAGGAAGTCGCCATTACACTTAGGCTGGGAAAAAAATGCCTCTAGCTGCAGGTGCCTGGGTATATACTGATTACGTAGCTTAGCCGCTCTTTTGCAGATACTGTTGCCTGAGTGCAATACTACTACCCTACGATCACAAGTCGTGTCTTGACCGGTTTGTTTACATTCTGTGTCCACCATTAGAGGTGCCTATGGGATTGAGAGCGAAATAAATAGCACTGATTGTAATACCATGAGTACTCTCAAATACTAACATATGGCAACCTCACAAAGTTAAAGAAGCAAGAGACACCAGCAATTTACCGACATGCTAACCGACGCTTAGCAACTACGCAGCCACCACCGCTTGCTTTCGGGCTTGCGATATTACGAGGTCGCAAATTCTAACCCAGTGATCTTTCAACCACCGTCCGGGAAAGTTGGACGCGGTTGCTCCTGATAATTAGAGACGCGTGTGCAGGTTTGCACACCCACCAACCGTTGTCTTGCATACATAAGAAAAACCAATGTTGGATCTTGGAGAACCTTTTTGCCTCTGGATTAAGCCGGCCTGTGGCCTAATGGTACATAAGCCTGCCTAGTAACCTAAGAGCTCGAACCTGCGTAAAGGACCGGGCGACCCTTGCAGTATCCTTAGCCCACGCGCGACTATTGATCGCTTGGCAGCAAAGCGTTGTACTGCGTACCGGCGAACTGCTGATGACTGCCCGGATTGTGTTACGCAGTCTCGAAGCAAATCATTTCGGTCATTGGGATTGCGTTCAAATGCCCGCAACTACCTATGCTAAAGCTGGCTCATCGGCCACTAGAAAATTCGATTCTGCAGAACTCTACTTACGCAAAATATATTTCATTGATCATGTTTTACGCCCCTACTAGCTATAGCAAAGCTTACGCCAATCAAATGTTATTTCCTTTGCTTGATTGATTTTGCTTGTTTGTACCACGATCCACTAAGAAACATGTGGATGAGTCATCCTATTCGGCACTATGGCGCTTCCGCCGAGGCGTTGTTATTCTCTACGCGAAACAGTTCCACCACAGGCCAACCGGGTCTAATTTGCTCCATTTCTCCTTTAGTCTTGTGCTCGTGAAATATCATTTACGGTGATGGCATGATATCAGTCTAACACTTCAATATAAGGAGTACAGCGCTGCGATGTTGCTGCATGGATAAAATATACAACCACCTCGCACTGAGGTTAGTCGTTGATCACCGGCGCTACTGAAGTTCCTCAGTTTGTCTTTGGTAGGAGACCAATTTGGGCTGTTTACATTAACCAGACCACGTCATCCGTACTTTCGTAGACCTCCCGGTATGTATTATTTTCTCTCGCTGCATTTAATCAGGTGAAACTGCGAAGTGATCAGCTAAAATACAAGAAAAGCGTGGTCGTTTAGGAGAATTGTTAAGGTTGTCACGTGCTGTCTCGAAATGGGCCACATTTTGCGTTCATGCATTTTGTCTCTTTCATCTAGCTGTTAGCACGAGCTCGACAGATTGCTCCATTTCTCCTACTCCACTTTATTTCCAGCGTTGTGTTCTTTACCGTTTTTAATGCTTATCTTGGCGACGATTCACGTCGTATACTGGCTTTCGGTCGAAAGGATAACACACCTACCTTATCATCCGGGGGTCACGGATTTGACCCTGTGTAGCGACCGATGGACTCTCGCAGTATCCTTATCCCACACGCGACTGCTGGTGGTTGCTTAGCAACGAAGCGCCGGTCCTGCTTACCAACGTAATGCTAATGCTTTTAAGCTTTCTGGCCATTGCTCAACTAAACATAGTTGAACTGGTTGAAAATTTACCAGACGTGTGCCTTGCAACCCGAAAGCTTAGGTAGCAGCGTGGGCGACCTTCGCGCGACTGGTCTGTTTGCATGGCAACGAAGTGCCGGTACAGCGTACCGACGTACTGCTGATGTCTTTCTTAAACTACGAACGCCTCCGCCTTTGCTAGCATAGCATCTTAGCATCACGGTCATCAGTCCTCACTGTCTCTACTCTAGCCTTATGATCATCCACCTTGGCTCTAGTGGTTGCTGTGCACACAAGCCTCACTTCGCTTCCCGTTGCACAAGTGTATTACGACACTACAAATGTGAGCATTGCGCGCTACTGGTATTGTCGGACCACCTGTTACTGATCAGTGCTGCTCGTACCTAGTGTGAACACCGAGTATGTGCTACCCATACCCACCGATTACAAGCGTATTGCCCTCTGTTGGTCTTGGTCCACAAATGTTGGCGGTTTCTGTTACAAGTTCATTGGCCTCGCTTCGTAGGACAGCCAACAGCTGCTTGGGTAATGGGCCACAAGGACCCATTGAGTGCGACCGCGCAATCTAATCACATAGTCACT